GCTTTTAACTCATAATTTGTAACGGGTAACATAATTGTTATTAGTCAATGATTAATATCGATTAGTTATTGTTTTCCTGGCTAAAGATTATGGGTTGATAAAAAAAGTGCTTTGTACAAAAATCACATGTTGATTGTTTTTTAAGACGTTTTATCTCGAGTTAGATTAGGTAAAGCAGTTAAATTATATTATGTAACTTTTAGTAGTCCTTTTTCACATAAGTAATGCAGTATACATTATAAATCGATGGTTTGTAATTTTTAAAGGTAGTGTTATATTATGCTGATTCATTGTCAACATAATACCCTATTTGTATTGTTTATTATACCAATATGGCATTATTAAATTATTTTCTTTCTGAGCACTGAGCAACGTCTCTTTTACTTCAATCCATTATGTAAATTAAACTTATATTTGTTACGATAGTTGTTCATTTTTTTAATGTATCCTGCGCTTTTTTTCATTATTAATCAAATCTTACCGTGTATGTACTTTTGGTAATTTCAAACCCGATTATTCTCTCTTTCTTATAAACAATGCAATCTTATTATACAATGTATGCTTAGCCTTTGAAATCAATATGAGACTTTGGTAAAAGTTTTCATTGGAAATAATCGTAAATGCGTTCTTTTTTGTCAGGGTCATGTTGAAGTTTTAGAGAGTTAGCCCGAATTGTTATTGCGTTTATTTGTGCAAGTGTTCTAGTTTTAGCGCGTTGTCATACTTCTGTGTTTGTGTAATGCATTTAAAAATAAAAAACAATTGTTACTTTTGAACTTACTTTAAAAAACACCTACCATATTTTTATACAATTATAATGTAGGCATAAAATAATATTGCACTGCTTACAACCAAAAGTAAAGTAAATAGTGCACGTATATCTATTATACAAAAAACGATTAACTTTTATTATGCTATTATAAAATTATACTTACGAAGATGAATTATCTGTTGTGTTTTCTCATGTAAATTTATATAACTTAATATGATTGAGCGTTGCGTTTTGTGTACGCTGTCATAGTATGAATCACATCTCGAAATATATTTACAATGTTTATCCCACGAGACACATAATATAAGCAATAAGCATGCCGTGTAAAACGTGTGCACTAAATTACTGAGTACACAAAAGACCAATTAATTCAATTTATCAATGTCGATCGTTTTTGGAAATCCTTAGTTTGATAATTTCTCGCCGACCGATAGATTTTCATTAATGTGGACACACGTGCTGGATAGTTATTAGTTATTACTTATTAGTATTTAGTATGTAATAATAATAATTGTTTGGAATAAAAGAAAATCGTACATGATAATTTAATGTGTACGGAAAACCGTTTAACACTTTTAACGATTATGTCAGATTTTATTATTACTATTATTCTTTTTATTGACCTTTAATTTATATCGTTGTATTATTTGTACAGATAACAATGAAGGTTAAATGTCTATGTATTTTTCGGTATAACATTTCTTGACTTGTTTATTAAATATTAAAATTGCACAATTATAAAAATAAAAAATTGACTTGTTTAGTGGTTCTTCTCTGACAGCATGTGTAAATGATACAACATTTCGATTTTATCGTGAACACTATTCTGTGCGTTAGATGTAATAATTACTCGTTATCATAAGCTCCATTGCTCAGAACAATGTATTTAGTTGACATAAACGATGCACATATTATGAGCTATGAAACAAACACGACAATAAATTGTATACGTTACACAAATGACGTCGCGGTGTCGTTGTATTACACTTTTTGTTTTAAATATTATTATTTTTATTATTGTATTTCATATCAAAAGTATGAAACCTTGGTAGGACGTATCAGGTAACCTAATCCTTTATCCGAATGTTTTATCCAAATTGTAGATAGGAGAGAAAAAGAGAGGAAAAAACAATAACTACCTTGTCCATGCCAAACGTCGACGGTACAATATTAATATTATGGCTATTATTATAATGAATATGATAATGATTATTATTATTTACATTTGCCTCGGTGTGGTCCTTGCCTACGGCATAAAGAAAAAGTAAAATTATTTAATATAATAATAAAACTCGGAAAAACATGTTCTATGACATTGACCAAGCGTAATTAGACGTGTAGAGAAAAATACCGTACCTAATATATTTCTTGCCGTCAGACGATTAAATTGGGCTAGTCACAAAAATACAGTGTATGAACTGAACGAACAGATTCGAAACGGTCGACACAATAATATGTGCATTACGAATACCATATGGATGATAATAGATGTTTTTTTTTAATGGGTTATGTCAATCGTTAGATTTGTTTTGTTTTGTTTAAAATAATATGAACAGTCCAATAAATAACTTGGTCTTGCGTGTGAAAATTCAACAATCGGCTTGCTGTATCTCACGTGGCTCAAAATGTCATCGGTTGATTATTCTTTTTTATTTCTGTTTAACATTATAATGTGATTAATTAATAATACTATTTAGTTAGACCAACGCCATTTGTAGAGTGATTTTTGTTATAAGAGCTAAGACTTAAGAGGTACGCGTTAGGGATGACTATTATTTTCAAAAAGTCATTTGGTGTCTATACATAATAGTGTTTTGTGTTTCGTGTTAAAATAAAGACTGTATAAATACATTGTGTAACTCTTGAAAAGTTTTATTTATTTTTTTATGAAACTAAACTTTTAAACGGAATGTCCAGCTTACATTGCTCATACCTACTTGTTGGATTTGGTTGTTCCTGAATACCCGTTTAAACAGTCATAATTTCGTCCAAGGACAACAGATGTTCTACGGTAAACTTAACCAAAATTCGTACACTATTAATGACCTCGTTATATGTTTTATCGTATGTACTTTTGAGTGGGTTTTATGGTGTGTTTTTTATGGAGTTCTCTTGAAAAATGCCAACAAACAATTATCTTACACATTTGTCCAATACTTATAGATCATAAAGTATGTTTGTTATTTTTAATTTTCTAGTGAAAACTATTCCTTTTTAAATGAAAAACAAGTATTGACCCAATCAACCTAAAAAACCCTGGTATGCTAGTACTTATATTTAAATTTTTATTTTAGACGACCGTTTAATTATTGAGTAGGATGGTATGGCATGTTAAATAAGCCGTTACGTTTAATTATAATAAATCATCGGCGGGTTTTTAGTAGGTGTATTTAAGTAAAACCAATCAATCAATGTTCTAGGTTTTTTTTTAATGATGTCCTAGAAACGTTAGTCCCCAATATATGTATATTACATAGCTAGAGTAATAATAATCAACGTTGCGGTGAAGAAGATTGAATTACTACTTGGTCTTATTTTCTAATGAATATTATGTCAAAAATAACGAATTCGGCAAATACTTAAAGTTTGTTCGGTTAATCTAATTATAAGGTGCTAAAGGAATGGCGTTTCTTCGTTTTGTGCATAATACTCTCCTTAAGGTTAACATTGCTAGTGTCCTGTCGTCGACGATGTTGATATTTTGTGTATATTAGGTCGTCTTCGTCGTGTATGCCACGCCGTCGTTGTTTTTCATGAGATTTGATAATAATTTCGAGAAATTATTAATCCTTTTTAACCTTTTTAATCCGAAGAAACTATAATATAAACCTATTCGACGGGCACGCGACTACTTTGTACAACGTATAGACTTAAACAATATTATTATTTATGGTAATTGACAGACGATAGCAATGGCCTATGATGCGTTTCGGAAGAGTGATTAATATCAGCCGACCGTTGTTTTAATTCAATTTTCCCTCTCTCTATCTCTCTCATTTAACTGGATACGATCCAATAGCTATACTAAAATATTTCCTTAGTAGACGTCGTTTTATTTTTCTCACTTTAAACACGTGAACGGCGGCCAATTTCTTTGGCGTTAAATTCCTTTCATCGCGTTTAAAACTTTGTAAATCAAACATGTCTATACGTACATATAGCATAGGTGAAGTATAAATCTGGTCTGCGTCAATTTAAGCGGCCAAAAAACCGAAAAACACGTGTCGTAGAATCGTCTTTCTCGCCGTTACCATAATATTCTGCGGAACGTCCGCCCATCTTGTACGGGTTTTGGTTATTTTGAATAAGACTAATATAGTATACACAATGTTTTTTTTTAAAGTGCTTATATTTAGAAAAATACTTGCGACGACGAGACACCAAACGCTTACGATATTTTCCCCTCACGCACATAATATCCTATTCTCGTACATTAGGTGTATATATATATATGTGTGTATTTTCTCTTTATCTCTAATGTTGAGATCCAAAGATACTGTCAAAGTATCGTGGAGACTTTGTCGTCGTATTTGAGACAATGCAGTTATTCAAATAGATTTTATTGAAATTATAGAGTTATCACTAAAATAGTGTATTTAGAAAAATGTTGAGGTCCAGGGTGTTAACTGGTACCTTAGTACGTAAGGTACTAGTAACAATCTACTAATAGAGGCCCTATAAAAAAAAACTGTCTCATAGTACTATGATCCTCTCGTAAAATTTGGGCAATTTTTGGACTTAACGCAACTTAACCCATCTCAATTTGGCTACAGACCAAATAGTAATAACTCACAAAATTATGTATTATTAAGCACATTTTAACGTATATTTCAAAGGTTCCACACTTCCTGTATAAATCCCTAATGTAAACATGTTTATTTAATTGTTTCTCTCTTATTAGTAATAAAGATCCGTAGAATAAAATAGAAAATTTTCGGGGATAAGGAGGAGAAATTAATTAGAAAATATGAATGATATTTCAGTTGTTATTATATTATTATAACTTACGTAAGGTGTGATTAGACAGATGTTCATGTAATATTTTATAACTTATGTTTTCATAATCCTAGATGTCACAGCGGTCAGAAAATATAGTTTAATAATAATAATTGCTATTTGCTAATTAGTCCCATCAAGTATCGTCTTATCTGTTACTTTTGCGATTAAATCATAATTTCCTGTCGAGTTTATTACTTCTATATTATTAATGTTATTACTCGTTTTTCAGAGAGGAAGTACGTGATCATACAGTCCGTTGGGGCGCTCAGTTTGAGTTCGTTTGCAAGATGAGCGCCAACGCATCTACCGGAATCTTAGATCCTTGCAACATTCGGATATCGGTCCGTAAAGTAAGTACATAAAGTTAGTTAAAATGCGGGTTTATTTTACATAAAAGCCCGACTTGGGTTCTTTTGGATGCACAGAACCCCAATAAAACCCAGTAATTTTCGGTTAAATTTACTAGGTTTAAATAAAAACAAATATTCGTTGGAATTTGTATTTTACCAACTGCTCGATACCGCCTTGTATAATGTCGCCCGAGGATACTCGAAAAGTTGCTTTAATATCACTATCACGCATGTATATTTCATATTATAGGACTCACGGGATAATTCCATTTCGTTTGCCTTGTCTGTAGGCTATAGACATAGGAAAAAGTATAAGTCGCGTGGTCCATGAAATCTATTTCTCGCATTTTCCTAACCGGTAAATAATTTGTGTGGGAGAATTGTATTATAGTGTTCGATTGTTGTTGTTGATGCGAATGCCGTATGCGCTCAAACGTTAATTATATTACATTATGTTTATAGGTCGTTTACAACAAACACGTTTATTGGTTTTCTTTGGCGATTGTAGGTTGTAGAATTATTTTCTAGTTTTTTTAAGTAGAGAAAATCCACAGCGGTCGCGCCTAATACGGCGTTTATACGACGTTTGTATTTTGACTCACTTCCGATGTTGTCCTGTACACGGTGTTTGTCGTAGGTATTGGATTTGATTATATATATATATATATAATGAATTATCAGCATTCTATACAGGTACGGCCGCTATGGATGCGCAAATGTCAACAACATCCGGACATACAATAACATATTATTAAAACGAGAGAGATTTTGCCTTCTCCCCCCCTTCGTCGTTCTTCGCATCATCACTATCTCTCTCTTTGATTTCTCCTATCCGATTGTATGTCTGTACAGGAATTGAAAGGCGGCCGGAGTTATCAAAAACTCGGTTTCACCGACGTCAATTTGGCCGAATTGGCCGGGGCCGGACTCAGCTCGAGGCGGTGCCTGCTCGAAGGATACGACACTCGTCATCACCGGCAGGACAACTCTATGCTCCGAATAACTGTATCCATGAACATGCTGTCTGGGGACATTCTGTTTAAAGCGTAAGTCGATAAAAAATTGATTCATTCTTCTATCAGCCTACATGCATTTGCCCATATGCCTACACTTGTAATGGTATCGTTTCAGGCCAACGTCGTCAACCACGTTACACCAAAAACCCATCACCAACGGGGAGGATATACCTCAGCGCGAAGACGGCGAATACCATTCGAGCAGCGGATTCAGTAGTCTGCCGAACAAGCGGTCGTTGTTTCCTTCAGGTATATATAATATACATTTATACATTAACGGCTAAAACTATAGGGCAAGTAGGGCACGTGACCTGGCCCATTCCTCACTTCTGGTGCCTCGCAATGATCGTGTTGGAATATTTGGACCTTTTACAAGTCACTTTCTGAATAATTAGTTTTAAAAAATAACGTTACGAGGCCTATTTTTGAATCTTTTATTAGAACGTTTTTAAAACTGAAATTAAGATAACTATTCAATGACTCCAAACCTATTGGATAAATATATTATTAATTTAAAAATAATATTTTGTCGCTATTACTACAACAGCAGCATTTACCTCGTGATCTGCAGATTTATTGAGGGGGGAGAGAGAGGGGGCAAGTAACTTTTATTTTGGCTCTTAGGTTTTAATGTAAACATTGTTATTATTTTTGTTATTTACTGTGGAATAAATGTTCGTACCAAATGGTAAGGCCTTGTCGAAAAAATAATTATTTTTTAAATCCGAATATACGGTAGTGTCTTGTGTATATTTTATTTACGCCCAATACAAAATATGGTAATAAGAAATAACCTTCTATTGTGTTGTGTTTTTTAACATTATTCAGAGACGACTAGACGTTTAGACGGGCACTTCCGGAAATCTATATTTTTTTTTGAGACAGTCATATTAATATGTACTATGTAGCAAATGTTTTTTTTTTAATTCCAAAAATATCTCTCAAGACTTAAGGAAAATAATGTTCTTTTTATACCAAAGACAAGTACTGATCGATTAATTCTTTACGAGAAAAATAGATAAAAATTCGCAGTACATTTTATTTATAGAATTATTGCAATACTCTTCAGTTAGGACACTGAAACTAGGATTTTTCAATGTATTTCAAACCGTCATGCTCGTATTAAAGCTCTATAAACAATTTATTTATGGAGCTGTAATACTAACTAGCTGTAATATTACTGCTTTTAGCTGCATTTAAAATTTTAATTTTATCTGAACTTGGTAAGTTTAAAAAATTAGCTTTTAACCTCGAGGTTAAACTAAGAGCTGTGCAAACAAACGGTTATTTACTCTTGTTATAATTATATTCACTACTCAGTACTGGGTCGTGCCATAGCATAACTGTATCTGTAATTTTAATAATAAATTCTTGTTTTTTTTTGCACAAAAATATTATGCAACAATTTTTTGAATGTTATATTTTCATAATATAATACTTATATTGACCTTAAAATTTTGTAAAAAAATTTGTAACTACTATTATATTACTGTAATTTTTTTTTGTTATAGACATTCCATCCATGAACAGTTTAGAAAAGCATGATAATTCATCCGAATCAAATCAGAACCATTCAGAACATGAAGATGAAGTATTGTCTCACGATGCTGCTCCTACCTCTAATCAATTAACCAACTCGAATGGACATTCCCGTAATTCTTCTAATACAAGCAAAGGATCTAGTTCCCACAATTCTCATTCTAGGCATAGTAGTTCTGGTGACAGTGGACATGTTCGGTAATAGTTATTAATTATTAATACCTAATGTTTATAAAAGAAAAAAAAAATCTAATTTTCTGTCTTAATATAAAACAAATGCCCTTTTTAGGTTTCACTGTTAGGATTAAATATTTATTTTATTTTTAAATTATCTTAATCTATAGTAATAAGCGTAAGCTATTTTTTTAATTTGAATTAAATTATACCTTAACACATTGTACAGAAAGAAATATGTACATTTTAATGTTATTAATTATGCAGTTTTGGGATTTTTTCGATACATGGAATGGGCATGTTACCAATTATTATGTTAGGAATTACCAATTACTTATTATAAGTGTTGCAACTAATATGGTTCCTATCAGGTCACCATCTTGGCCTGTATGGTCTCCTACTCTTTCACCACCACCTGCAACCCCGCCACCGTCACAGCCTCCTACACCCGTATGGAGCAGTCCTCGTTCAAGATTTTGGTCGCTGCGTCAATCGAAATCACAACATCAACAGTCACCACAAGTGTGCACACATCAAGACATATTCCGTACGCCGGACAACAAACAAACTGGATTTAGGTTCCCACCATGGTCCGGTCCATCTCCTAGAACACACTCGTCGCCAGGCCTGTTGCCCCTAACCCCAGATTCCCTTAGGTAACATGAGAGTTGACCCTATACATGAAATAATGCTTAAGTAATAACCAGCTCTCTCATGATCCATTTGGCTAATGAACAAATATATACTTGGTGTTGCACATGCTAATCATAAACATTTACAAATATAGTCGGCAGTGGTGTACTCATAAGGGTAGTCATAATATGTATGCTTTATGTGCCCCCTATTACTACACCACTGAATTTGTCGGGTTGTTTTGAGAAAGGAAAGAGTGTTAGTGTTAGTCATAAAGACATTAAGTGAGAATTGTTGTAAAGGATAATGTGATTCAGCCGTGTAGTATTTAATTTGAGGGAATGTTGTTCAGGGGCAGTATGCACCACCGTAAATTGCTGGATAACTCTGTTGGTTGTGGGCCACCAGGGATGCTCAACATGAACTCGCTTCAGAAACTTCCGTTTACACCGGAGTTGGATAAATTGCTCAGCACATCTGACACATCGGTATCTACTCCATTCAGGCGACCAAGCCAAATGTTAGTTTAATTTACATGAACTATCGGCGATAACAATGCATGGATGTGATTAGAGTGTTTTCCTTATATTTTTGCCAACAACCTTTATTTTATTTAATTATATATATTTTTTTAAATTATATTGCATGGGGTTAAATTAATTTTTATTCACCACTCAATTTGCCAACCCTCACTATACAACATCATGGTTTAGTTTTATATTAGAATCCTAACTTATCTCTCATATTACTATTTGATTTTACTGTCATCATTTTAACATTCCCCAACTTTCTTAAATCTAATCTCTGCTATAATTGGAAATAATTTTTCAATTATAAGTTAAAAAAGAAAAATTGTATATCATGAATAAAGTAATCATTAAAGATTTTTTTTTTAAGTAAAAAATAAATAAAAACATTCAAAATTATTACACAAATCGTCTTAATATTTCCATGTAAATATTAATTGATCTTTTAGAAACAAAAATAAAAAAAAATAAAATGATATGATGCTACCAATTAAAATTAATTTATTCATTATAATTGTTATTGAATTGAGGACTTAGAAGTTATCATAAATATATTTTATTTAAAAAGTGCTTTGCTTTTAATAGACGCTTTTGATGGTTTGCAAAAAAAACAAGTATTTTTAATATATTTTTTGGTGAAGTGAGTTGGGTTAGGCTTTTTTTATACTTAGAAAATTAGTTATTACTACTTTTTAGCTTATTAATCCATCACATAAATAAAATAAGTAATGTACAAATAATGACTCTATAATTGTTAACTTTTCTAATAGATATATTATGTTATTGTCTTCTTTCACTGTTAGATGCTCATTTCTTTTACCACCAATGATTTTATTGTTTTGAGTTTTCATACTTGTTTTATAAGCTTTTGAGCACATGCTCTTCATATATTCATTATACAGTATTATAATTGAATACAATTGATATAGATATGTATTTACTTTATTTTTATGTGTAGTTTAACATCCAGTGGTACTGCAATATCTATGTCACAAGCCTCTCCTGTATTGAATGCAGTCGAGACTGGCTCTTTAGATCGAGGCAAAGCAGCCTTAGAAAGGCGCAAAAAGTCGGCAATTACAAGTAGTATTATAGACGATGGCGGCACCAAAGCTACAGGACGTGTTGAGGTAACCAGGGTAAACCCGGACAGTCTTATTGACCAGCTGCTCAGAGCCACAAATTTAGATGATCATTCAACTGACGAGGACAATAAACACAGTATAAAATAGATTGTTTAGATAGTTATGATTTTGGTTCTATTCTAAACTTCAATTAAAAATTGTATTTATATTTAGGATCAGGCTTACAACTGTTCATTGCAAAAGATGGAACGACCACACTTGGCAGTCAGGACATCAAGTGTCACATGCCCAATAGTCTATTCAAACAGGTTGTGATGGAAGACAATAGATAACGCTAAAGTATTAAAAACTTTATTTATTTTAGTAAGTTGTATAATGATAAATTTAAACGCAAGACACTTGTTTGCTCTGAATATAAATACAATTATTTAGCAGTCATTTCTAAAAGTAATTTTACATTATTATATTATTACAATATTGTAACATCCAGTTGTAGTTTCTTTCCACAGAAACTTTTTTGAATAGTATCAAACGTCTTAGTGCCTAAAAATGAAAATATTGTTTTTTTATTGAAACATAATGTCACAAGTTTAGTAGTTTGTTTTCTACCAAAATGTTATTTAAAATCAGCATTTTCCCCTTCTAAATATAAATTATAATTTGTTGACAAAAAAGTATTTTTTTAAGTTTACTAAGTATTTGTTAGGATGTATGTTAAAATGTGTTCAATTTATTAGTATTAATAAATAATAACAATTTGTTTAATTTTATTAGGATGGTATTAGACTTAAAACAATATTTAAAACCGTCTTAATGTTTCTTTATTATGGTAAGAACATATTTACCTCATTTTGCAGCATAATTTTATGTTAGAACTGTCATCAACCAAAACTTGTTTTATATATTAAAAATAATAAGTCAATTAATGGGACCAATGACTACTATAATAAAATATATAGTATATGTATAATTTAAATTGTGATGCAATAACCTTATTAATAACCTTATTAGTTATTATATTTCCTAAAAAGAAAATTTTGGCAAATAGAATGTTTGACATATTTATGCTTCACGTACGGTTACGTATATTCTTTATTAATGTTATAAATGAAGAGAAAATGTATTAATGTAAATTGTAAAATCAAAATATAACTTATGAATTATTATCAGAGACAACAGGTGTAGTTGCACAACATTGATTATTTTATACTGTAAAATTATTTTAAATGTATATTGTTATTTTTTAGTGTTTTCACGAGCTTAACGCTTTTTTTTAAAAATGATAATCAAGCGTCAAAGTACTTTCAATGTTCACAGCGTTTAAGCATGGTCGTCTTTCTGACTTTTCACTGTTATGGAGTAAGCTACGTCGTGATATCGTTGGACACATTATTATTTTACATCTTTGTAAAAACATTACTTTTATAGAACTCAAATTATGATTTATTTATTTATCTCAGTGTGGTCTAATGACGACATTCGTTCAAATGATTAAAAATGTAATTTTTCAATTGTCTGAATCATATTGATTCACCAGTAGCTTGTTATCAAGATTACGTATGCTTATATATATTTTATATCAACTTCCAGTGTATTTATCTTGTGTAAATCAGGAATGTAAACCCATAAATTATTAATGTTGTTAAAAAAAACATTGAGCTACTAAATAATGTTCCTCCTATTATATATCAGACAGTTTTTTTTTACTCGTCTAATCATGTGCAAGTAAAATAACGATTAGTATTAACACAAAACATTTATTCTGGCCAAAGGAGGAGTCCCGTCTGTCATACAGAACTTTGAGTTGACAAGAACCAACTTTGTGCCATAAGAATCTGTATCGTTTTCACAATGGCCATTGTGATTATTCTGACTCCTTATCTTCGTCAATTTCGAAACGATATTCAATTATTAGTTACTACGATTATAGTTTTTATTTGAACGTATTGTGTAAACAACTTTGATGATCTCCCAAAAATACAATAGTCCGTAAAATATATTTTATTAGATTATTATTTAAAATGTGCACCTAATTTTAAATATGCTTATTGTTTGTGTTGTATACTTTAAATTAATTATAGAACTTTTTTGCACCATAATTTATTTGTAACACTTCTACAAAAGTTAATGTGGAAACGAAATATTAAATGAGACTTGTAAACACAGTGTTATTACTGTTTTGACGTTATTTCTCTCTTTTATTTGCAATGTTAAATTGTCATTTTTGTGTAAATGTATGTTTGTTGAGCTCAAAGAGGAATGTATGACTTGAAAAATGCATTGTTGTTATTTATTTTACATATTTTTTCATAAACAAGCGTTGAATATATATATAAATTATAAAAATATAAATAATATACACATATATTATTTATTATGTATTGTATAATATATTCATATTATATATTGTTTAATTTGTAAACAATAATGTATTAGTTGAGTTAACTAATTAATTGTAATTGTTATATAATAACTAAAATACGCAACTAGTCATTCACACATTAAACACAACACGTATAAAAAAAAACCTTTATATTGTTTAATATGATAATATATCATTTATTATTTTGTAATTAATTCAACATAAGAAAAGTATTAAATTTTCATTTTGTGTACTCCAATTTATTTTATTTTTGCAATGTTTTGCGATTGCTTTATTAAAAACTTTTTCACAAATTAAGTTGTTTTACTTGAATTCCTTATAATTCTAGCATCAATGCAAGGTTGTAAAGGTGTTTATTTTATTAAGTCTTTCTCCATAACATAAATGACAACCTAATATTTTAAAGTTTGTAATATTAAGTTAAAAAGTTTAAATTGTCGCATTTTAGTAAAAACGTAGTAGCTAATAAACTTTTATCGTTTTTTGTAATAATAATTAAAAAAAATAATTTTGTTATTGTCCTTGGAGTGTATTACGTATTAATTTCATTAAAAATACTCATTAAATGTTGGTCCGTTCAAGTAGAAATAATTTTTTTTTAAATGAGTATTATGCCACTACAATAAATCCGTTTTTCATGGCTTTCGTGACTGTACTTATAATGTATGAGTAGCTTAGCAATACTCGTTGGTACTATTAGTGAAAATCTACTTAAATTGTATGTACAATTGATGCAAACGGCTATCATTTTTGAAGTCGGGCTATACGGTTCACTATAGATGATAAACGTGTAATTATCAAAAGTAAATGTTCAACAAGTTTGGTCAAGTTCAACTTTAGTTTGTGTTTCAGTCAAAAAAGATTACTAATTCTGAGAGTGAACGTGGTTGTGATCTTTTTTACATTTTAGGGTCGGATCGTTTTTTATTTATCTTTTATTACCTAGAAAAATAGCTCAAACATACATAATTTTTTGTCAAGACATTTTTGAAAAGAACAGTTTATTCTCTTTCTTTCTTTTTAAATTGTATAACATACCTGATTATGTATACTGAGGTTTTTGGTTAAAAATAAACCAAAATGGCTTCTACTCATAGAAAAAATTGTTTAAATTATAAATAATACTTTGAATCTTATACAAATTAACCGGTAAATTAATTGACATTGTTTTCTTAAATGTTGCCTATACTAAACTCCTTAAAAACAGACCTCATGGAATCCCCTTAATGTTGATACTTATGTACTCATACATATTATAGTCATTAATATTAGTGTTCTGCATTTGAATGATAATGTTCTAATGAGCTATGAAATAGATTTTACTTTTTATTTTTTTAATGGCTTATATTGTAATAAATACATGTACATAATTTTTTCTTATTCGTTTTATGTGCTTACGTTTTACTGTTTAATTTCATATAATTATAACTTAAATGTTGGATTTGAAGCACTGACTATGAAAGGGGTTTTTCCATCAATGATGAGTTGAAAACGTGATTTATTTTTGTGTTCTTTCAAACTTGAAATATCTTATTAGCACTAACCACTTATGATTTCATAGATTCGGTTTGCTGTGGAGAATTAGACATACAGTTTGTACTTGTTACACTATTTGTTTTAATGGTTCTTGTGAATATTCATTTAAAGTGCTTTCTTTGTAATTGTGTCAACGGCTAATTTGTAAATTAATAAAAAAACCCACGTTTGTAAAAACAAACAAGTTTACACAAATTATGGGTTTAGTCGACGATTCGGTGTGTACCTACATTTTTTATTTTAATTAATAGATAAAAAGTACTAAAATAAGTATTTTCGGTTCTAAAATACAATTTTAATAATGCGTTGATCGGTTGTAGAACATTAATGACCGCTTTCAAATGTTTTGTCTACATAATTTTAAATGTTGAAATATAGCTACAATTATCAACCCAAAATAGATATTGGTCTAGTAAAAGTTAGTAAATAGTCTATATAAATATATAGTTCTTAATAAATAAGAATATATGTAGGAAAAATAGGTTGTCAAAATTTGTATAAAATCAAAAGTTGATAATAAGGAGCATAATAGTTTAAAATGTGCAATAGATCATAAAAATAGCAGAAAATTACATGGAATACGATAAACTATTATTACTAATGAACGTGTTATTAAGTTATTTAAATTATTTTTAAGATATCCCAATTAATCCATATAATCTGTCTTATAGTTTTTAAAATTACAGTTCTTATAAGATTTTGTAGAAATAAAATATGTATATGCAACATTTTAGAGTTTAGACTATATAGATAAGTATTTAATTCTAAAAATTAACTTATTTTATTTATATAAATTAAAGTTTTGACCTCAAGGCGATATGTCCATAATTTATATTGTAAAATGACAATATAAATTAATAATTAATAGCAGTATATGACAATCTAGTAGGTACTTGCCAAGTGGGGGGGGGGGCAACATTTGACTAAATTTTATTAAAATGTTCATTTCGCCAGCATCTATTCTGAAGGTAGAGTATGAATTATGATATTTTTAGGATACCTAATTAATAGTAACGAAAGTTCGTTATCTTATCCCCCGTCTGACCGTTAATTGACATTTGACACAGCTTAACACATCAGAAGTTTTAATATATTTCTTCAAACATTCTAACTTAACTCTAGGTACTTGACTGTAGTACCTATAACCTATTGCTATAATAAAACTCGAAAAATACTTTTGAGTTATTAAAATGCAATTCCATAAAAATCAAATCAAATTCATGTCAACATACCTATATAGTATATTCACGTCTGTTAAAACAGTCAAATATTATGTATGTTTTTAATGTGACTTTATAACAACGACCACAAATACACGGGTAAGTAGTAGTACCTAAGCCTCATTACAATGTCTATAGTATTGCACTTATATATATAAAAAAATACAGTCGGGTTATACAACAATGATTCACATTATAACGGCGTTGCGCTGTGCGTTTAAAGGTTTACCGTTTATGTAATATATTTCTCTTTTCTTATACAAACACACACACACACATATATATATATATATATATATATATATGTATAAATGTCTTAACCGAGTGTGGGGAAAATATTATGAAATGGCCTCTACTCTAAGCTAAGCACACGCCGCCACCGCTGTTTCTCGAAGAAAACAGGCAGAATTGATCAATACTTATTACGGATTACACGGCCGCCGCGACCGCCGCTGTTTTTTCTCATTTTGTTGTGTGAGCCGCTCTGTGTGTAATGTGTATGTGTGTTTTTATGATCGGCCTCCTCTACCCCTTATAATATATATATATTATTTTTTACTTCCCTGACCCCCTCGTCTTTACCCGACACACACATACACATTCACCCTCCAACCCCGAGGCTAAAACCCACAAAAAACTCGCTCACTTCTTCGACGGTATTTCTCTTTCTCTTTCTCTCGCTATCTCTCTCTTTCATTCTTTCTGCATCTCACCACTTCCTCCCCGAAAAGACGACAAAACACCCCTAAACGACCGTGTGGCGGTACCGCGCCGATATTTTTTAATGTTATTTCTTTGTATATATATATATTATATACATACACACTAGCACTAAAGAGAATATACCGCGGGCTCTTTAAAACCCGAGGGCTTTGCGTCTTGGAAGTAAAAAGAAAGAATTATTTTACTTTTTGAAACGTTTTTAATTCGATTTTAAATGACGTCACATAATGATTTTCGAGTGTACAAACGGGGGAGTTACCGTTTTTTGATCAGTCCGAGAAATTCGGGGTTTCACACGTCAAGTAGAAAACCATTAAGGGTAAAAAATATTATTTCAAAGTTATAAGCCTCGTTCCCCTAGCCAGCTATATGATCTTTTTTTTTTACACTGCAACGTTATGCGCCGCACAATATTTCATAAAAATATTAATTAAAAAAAAAAAGAAAGTTTATTGTGGTTTTTAACTGCGATGTGTTTTAGGTATGTAATTACGTTATGTAAACTTGATAAAGTTTTCAAAGAAACAATTGTTCGTCGAGTGTTTGCAATTTGGATTTTTCCAGAAATTAGGGTCGGACATGTACATTATATACATGTAGAAAGTGTTTCTCGAAGAGACGATGACTCAAATGGGAGTCAAAAGTTATTTTCTCTCTCTCTTATCTCTCTCTCTCTCTTCTCTGTCGTGCACACTAGTCTCTTTATAAATAAATTATACATGTATTTTAAAAGGGTGTAGAAAGAAAGGGCGTTTTATGTTTTACTCAACGAATCCTAAGAGCTTTAGTAAAAATAAATATATATATATATATATAATATATAGGTAGTAGATACGTGAGTTAATTAGATTTATTTAAGTGTAATATATGTTGTAAACATTTATGTTGTATTCTTTATGGGTTTGGCATCAGGTGTGCAACTATAATTTCTAGGTTTTGTTTAGTCTGTATGGTCTTGATAAGATTTAGATATTGTTTGAAATTGGTATCAGTAATCAGTATTATTCCGGACGCTAAAGGTGTCGGATGGATTCTCATGGTAAAATAAATAAAATGGTTAATGGTATAAATGTAAGTTCATGTTTATTTATCATACGAGTCTTGCTTTTGTTCCCATTGATTGTTTTAAAGTTGTACAATAGATATGGGCAGTTAGGCAATTTTTGCAGATTTGATTACATAATTTAAAAACAGTTAAAAGTAAAAAGAAAAGTCAAAACTACTGTACTTGAAGTTGTGTCCTATTTGACATGTTCCTCTTTCGTTCTCTATTCTCAAGCGATTCCGGCACCCAGTTTGTTAAATTGAAGCAGACATGCAGCTGAGCTTATTTTTGGCCTATTACACTTGGTCGTACTTAATAGTTATGATACAAGATACAAAATCTTCATACACCCATAAATCATAAAGCACATATGTGAATACAACTCGCTGTATTAATGTATGACAATAAAGACATTTAAAGACAATAAAGTAAA